CCCCCACCCCCCATGGCAGTGCTACTGCTGAAGTGTCTTTAGGCCATTCCCAAAGGGGGGATTTTAACATGTTCTTGTGCATAGTAGAATTGTAAATGGGCTGATTTATCAATTTCATGCTCTTACTGTGTCAGAACAACATAGAGGGAACTGCTGCTTTTCTTTCCTCATCCTTATTATCTTCATTTTATCTCTACTTCTTTTGTGTTTGTCTTTCCCTTGTGAACTTCTCTTTCCAAGGTGCCTTGATAGTCGAAGAAGACTTTATACGTGGGTAGTTAGCGGGTGGTCTGGTGTGGTTTGCTTCTTCTCTCCTATGAAAAATATATCTTCCTTATCAAAAAAACACTTTGTACTGTTGAGGCTAGAGAGGTTAGCAGAGTCAGCCTAATTCCCCGTTTGCCCTTCTCTGTTGACCTCCACCCCTTGGCGACCCCCCGGGGCGGTGCCACTGACTGAAGTGTCTTTAGACCATTCCCAAAGGGGGGACATTTCTCGTTCATGCACAGTAGAATTGTAAATGGGCTGATTCATCAAGGTCACGCTTATAACTGTGCCTAATCTACAACAGGGAACTGCTGCTTTTTCTTTCCTAATCCTTACTAAGGTCATTTTCCTCTACTTCTTTTGAATGTTTGTCACCCTCCTGTGACCCACTATTTCGGGGGTGCCTTGATAGTCAAAGCAGACTTTGTGCTGTTGAAACTAGAGAGTTGAGCAGTGATTCCCTGTCAAGATGTCTCTACTGATATCCATCCCTTGGCGCTCATATGACCTGATGCAGTTGCGAACGCCATAAAACCTTACTAATCTCTTCTTTATCTTTGTAAATAAAATACTGCTATAGCGCAGTTAGATAAACGCGCGAGTCGGTTATAGTGGAATATTGATGCTGCTGTGCACAGCGCATAGGCCATTTATGCATGATGAAAACCTCGCCAGTTGAGAAACTTGTTGGTGATCAATGGAAACAAAGAATGGGAGAGCCCATGTGTGCCAACAATGAAGGCTGGAGCGAATGGGGGAGTGGCATGCGCACACAAGCCGTTATGAAGCAGAACGCATTGCCTGATAGTGACAGGCCAGCCTAGTCTAGATTATATAGGCCTATCATGCCTCTCACTTCTCCGATGCGGAAATGAAGAGGTCACAGTCCTGTAATTGGTCATGAAGCAAATGTGTGACGTGCGCAAGCAGACGCGGGAACGCACCACACAGTGTGGTGAGGTGGGGGAAAACACAGCGGGCTAGTTGGCCTAGAGAACTTTTGTTCTGATAGCCAACGCCGAGCTGTCAACATCGCTAAACGCTAGAGACAGAAACCTGATTCAATTTTTTATCAAGTAAGACCTAGATGTCATGTTGAACAAAGCCATCATCAGAGGAGATAGCAAAAAGAAATAAACAGAACACCAGACTCATAGATTAGGCCTACTTTTATTGAGTTTATTACTGGATCCCTTACAACGAGAATCCTGCTATAACGGACATTTCGTACAGGTCCCCTCTCTCCCTCTCGTTACAACAGGATTCCACTGTATTATGATTTGACTAAACCCAGCTAGCACCTAATTTAGCATAGTATTTTTTGGAAAGTGCAATATCAACATTTTTGTTTCTCTTTCAGTTAATTAAAAAAAAAAAAAATTGAAACCATAATCTGTGGTGTAGTGTTTAGACTGATCCCTGATGCAGTTAAAAGATGTTGGTTTGCTTCCCACAATGAGAAGTTACTTTATTGAGAATCTCCGTCAGTGGGCTGAGATGATGTCTCCCACCCTGCCCTGATGAGCCCTCTCTGGCACAATCAGAGTATTGGGTCCTGAAAATAATGCAAATTGTATTGATGGTGCAATGTTATAAAGCATTTACAAGACAAGCAGTTTATAGTGGTTACAACAATGTTTGAAAAATTTGATTTTCTGATATGTAGTTAAATAATTGTCATTGTGTGCCTTGAAAGTTTGTGAATGTCGCTAATATAGTGCTGAGAGAACTCTTGTTTCTAAAAGAACGAAAATTGTTGTTGTGGTTGTTTATTGTTGTTGATTTACATTCTAAGGCTCCGCACTTTTGATTTATGTTTCAGAAAGAAAGAAATAGCGTGTTTCCGATGTTATTCTACGATTATTTTACCCAAATCTTTGCCAGTAGGTTTGCAGTGTATTTCTTGTGTGGTTTTTTGTCCTCAAATAATAATA